GATACCCACAAGCAACAAGAATAATACACATCCCCAATATAGTAAACCAAAGTACATTTTCCCTAGCCTTTGACTTAGCCAATTTACTCTTCCACTTCTTTTCGTTCTCTTTCATCTTCTCCATATCATCTTGCAATTTCACCAATTGAGCCTCAATCTTCTTCATCTTGTCCTCTTCTATGGTGTTTTCAACCTTTAAAGTTGTCCTCGGCTTAGCAAGATTTTCAAAGCCTTCTAATGCATTCTCAAGTTCATCTATTTTGTCAAGCAATTTTGGAATAACAAATTTGGACCTAGGATCAATTTCAGAATCCTTCCAAACCCATAAATCACAAGATCGTGGACCCTAAGATGAATAACAAAAGAAAATTAATGAATGATAATTTTTCACAACTCAATTAGTGAAAGAATTTTTACTATCATTTACCCCATAGTATGGACAAACCCAATATCTTCTTCTTGGGTTTCGAGGGGTCCAAGCTGTTAACAAAGGCAGCACATAGCCATGGTTGTATCGAATTTCTCTACTTGACTCACTTTCTTCCTCTTCCGTGCAAAGCCTTGTCAAATTCAAGCCTTTTGAAGGTATTGCAACACCTACAACACAAAAGACAATATCAAAGTCAGATACTTTGCATTTGCTTTCGAAGATCAGATAATTGGATTTTAGGAGAAAGACATTACAATAATAAAAGAAAGAAATTAGAGTTCTTAAAAAGGAGAAAGATTAACCTTTGCCTTCAAAGATTAAAACTTCAAAGGGCAATTTGATGGAATTTCGGCAGAAATTAGAAGAAGAAGAAGAAATTAGGGTTCTTCAATTGGGTTTGGTAAAATATTGGGAAGAGGGGATTTTACCGTTGGTTGGGGGTTATATTAACGTTAAAAATTTCTTTTTTTTTGGGTGTTTTCAACGATTAAAAGAGAGTAAGAACGCGCTCAATTCGATTGCCTAAGACGCGCGGCTGGCGAGGGCTTATGAGGGAGTAAATAAATACAATTCTTTAAACAATAGTGGGGTGTTAGGACACCCGTAAAGTTTAGGTGTGTCAATAATTTTCCAGGACAAGTTGAATGGAGTTTTTATGCATTTTCTCTTAATACTTCAAATTAAAGTTCAATGCCTTCAACATAATACTTCAAATTAATCTAACAAACTAAAACATTAAGCATCATACGTCTAATAATTTTAAAATAACACAAATTGTCTCAAATCAACTTAACATCTTAAATACGAATATTTGAAGAACGCGCAAAACAACTCTTTATATGTCTCCTTAAACAGCCTGTGCCCTCCAACTTTGGACGACGAGTGTAGACTCGACCACAGTTCTTGCACTTTATTATGTAAACTTCTTCATTTTCCTCTACGACGTTAAAGTATCCCAAAACAAATGGGCGCAATCTAGAATCACCGAGCATGATTTAACTTGAATTAAGAATTTGAGTTTGAGAAATGAGAGANGTTTGAGCCCGTTTAGGACCGGTTGAACTGGCCCACTTAGGATCCGGGCCCAAACAGTCCCGATCCTAACGGGCTTCTTCAATGAACCGACCCACTTGGGTCTCAAGCCCTCCTGGTCCCGGGCTTAAACGGGTAGGCCCGTTTAAGCCCACTACTCATATGGGCTTGTGGGCCTGGACCGTGCCCGGACCTAACCGGCCCACTTGCCACCCTTAGGTGCAACTATAATGTCACACTCTTGCACATCTTACGAAAGAAGTTGATGTACTATGAGATAACTACAAAAGCACCTCAATGCGAAGTAAATGGTTAGTTATATGAATTGTTGTTGTTTATATCGTTCCATTTAAGCTGTCTCAATCCGTATATCATGAAAACTTAGATTTTTAATACTTTTTTTTTTTTACTAACATATAACAAGTAGATGTTTAGTTAGAGAATTTAAAATAAAATCATCTAGTAAAAGTGTATTTATTAAGAAAACTTAAATTTAGTTTGATAGATTATATCGCCTATGAAGATTTTATAGATTTACGCTGCATTAGGAAACTATATCATACTATTAAAGATGAAAATCTATCATAATGTAAAAGGTTGGAAAACGTTTGAAAAGTTAATCAAACTATTACGAGAAAAGAACATACTAACATCTATCTCAGATTACAAAGAAAACTTGTATCACAAAGACAAATTTTGAAAGAAGCTTTAGAAACTTTCCCTGACTAAAAGAGAAGTTAAAGAATATGGTACCCATGTCATACTGTCAAGAGAGCCAAGACTGGAGTCAGCTCATTCTTTCTATAGTGTATTATGTGCGGGATCCCGGGAAGGACCGGACCATAAGGATTTATTGTACGCAGTCTTACTCTGCATTTCTACAAGAAGCTGTTTCCACGACTTGAACCCGTGACCTCCTGATCACATGGTAGCAACTTTACCAATTATGCCAAGATGCAGAGTGTAAGCCTTGATAGTTAGACTCAATTGGTTTACAAGTTTCATTTTTTCTTTGTTCTATATTTCTTATCTGATGCCAAGCCAGTACTTCTCAAATCCGTATCCGCCTCCAATCCCCCTTTCAAAAGGAAAAAAGAAGGCACCAAAAAGGGAAAAAAGAAATACAGAAAAGAAAAGGGTTGGTTACACAAATAGCCGGCTAAATTCATTATTTATTTTTTTGGCGATATACATAGATTATATATTTATATATTTGATTATACATTCGTCGGTTATTTTTAGTTTAAGAGATTAGGTAGAGTTAATTCTTCTTAATTCGGGATCTTTGCATAAGTAGCCATCTATATTCGCTCTTTACTTTTTCTACCCATGTACATGATTATACATGATTATATATATATATATCAATTTTTTAGTTTTGAGCTTCTCACTTTTGAATAGTACTATATATATAAAATTAAATATTAAAATTACAATTCAAAAGAACAAATTTATGAAAAGTCACGATATAAAGTCATGATGCAATCAGAAAAAATGGAAGAGAAAGATGTGTCTGGTTTCCTTTGACTGAATATAATTTATGAACTTTCATCACCAAATTGCCGATAAAATTTTTCCATCAACCACTATTTGAGATTCTTTAAGTAGAATTTGATGGAGAGGTTCTCTTTTCTTACTCTAAGTTTTTAGTTACTTATTGGTTTTTAATTTGACAGGTATGGCATATTTACCTTCTCTTCAATTTAAATATAGTTATAATGGATGGCTATTTTTATTATAGTGATTGTTATTTATATCTAAGTATCTTTGTTAAGTAAAAAACTTCTAATTGATATTTTACTTGGAATGTCTCCTAAAAAAGTTTTAACGGAATGTAGTGAAAAGGAGAACACAAACAGACACAAATGAAATACACTGGTATTGTAAATAATTTTTGTTTTACTCAATTATCAGTCAAAATTAAAATCGCTTATAGGGGTAGTTTCTACTTTTAAATTTGGCGATCCGAGATTATCTCTTCACTTAAAAATTCTTAATCTTGCTGATGTCTACTTACTAATTACGTTTTTCTCAATTTCATGTACTGTTGAATGTTTTTTCCTCCAAATACTTGGTTTGACTCTTTTATATAGAATTATTTATCGTTTTATTTATATTTTTGATTTAGGAAGCATCATAAGAAGATAATAATTTAAATGATTTCATATGAGTAAAACAAAATTTCGTGTATTGACCTTAATATTTTGTAGATAGGCTCGCACTCTATATTACTTTTCTTTACACTATCTATGTTTTTTTGTAACAACCTATTTATTTTCAACAATAAAAAGAATATATTGATCAGCAAAATGAGTTCATAAATTGCTCTAGATGAACAATTTCCAAATTTTTACCCCCAAAAGAAGACAATTCCAATATTTACAATACAAAATTGTGGGCATTCATAGTAATGTAAATTTAGTCAAAAGTAGGATTATTATAGTTAGTTAACTTCAAACTTTGAAGTATTATAAAATATTATATAGAAGGTATTATAGTTATATTATATATCTCTGCCGGTTATTTTTAGTTTGGACGATTGAATGCGCGGGTAATCGGGTTAATTTTTCAAGAGAAACTTTCAGAAACCACTACGTTTTAGTGGTTATTAGCTAGTTGTAGCTACCATTTACTATATTACTTCCTATAGCTATGTTTTCAGGTTTTTTAGAGTATATTCAGTGTATTTAAGCTACTGTATTCATGAATACAGTAGCATTTCCAGACGTGAAATAGGGGATTACAGCTAGATAAATTTTTGTATTCGAGTTTTTTCGATTGTATTCATGGTGTGAAACATGGGATTACAGTTGAACAAATTATTGTATTCGATTGTATTCACGGCGCGAAAGAGGGGATTACACTGTTTTTAAACTGAAAATGAATCAATTAACATAATAGACTCCTAATATAACTCAACAAACTCAATTATAACACACAAATTTTGTATTTTCAGTTATAAAAATATTTTCAACCGAAAAACATCCCAAAAATATAGCAACCTTCAGAGAAATTATGTAATACATTTGAATACATAAATTATACTAATTAAAAATATATATATGAATACATTCATGGCATATAGCAACAACAACAACAACAACAACAACAACAACAACAACAACAATCTAGTATAATCCCACTTAGTGGGGTCTGGAGAGGGTAGTGTGTACGCAGACCTTACCCCTACCCTAGGGTAGAGAGACTGTTTCCAAATAGACCCCCGACATCCTTCCCTCCAAGAACTTCCCACCTTGCTCTTGGGGAGACTCGAACTCACAACCTCTCGATTGGAAGTGGGGGTTGCTTACCATCAGAGCATATAGCGAGACAGTGAATACAATGAAATACATAGAACGTAAAAATTCCTTAATTCTTCAACCAAAAGAAGTACAGATGCTTTACCAATTTGGGCCGGATAACGAGTGGGCCGTTGTACATAGACGGATCAACACCAACCTTCTCTCTCAGCCGGGCCAGATCAAACTCCGCCGTTGCAAAGTACAAACCGTGGTCCATGGCTTGTCATGATATGCTTTTTCTGCTTTAGCTTTCCGCAGACGCCCTCCTTTTTGCTAAAGCCACCTTTTTTACACTCTTTGGGACGTTGAACTTCAGCTCACATTGCCCCGCACCTTCCCATAATTCTTAAACATGGCGTCGTCACACGCTCTCTCTTCCTCCATGGAAGCAGCTCTCTCAAGCTCCAATCTTGTCTCTAGGTTTTCAGAGACGCCGTCAGCATTTCAATCCATCAAACCGTTTAATAGGACCAGTACTGGTAATCTTAAGTTAAGTTTTAGCCTTCCGTCTACGAGCTCCTTTGGCTGCGGCTCTCCCCGACGAGTGCTCACCCGTGCCGAATTGTCGGGTGAAAGCGGCTTTGAAGAAGAGGATAGTCACGATTTGAAGAATGATAATGGATTTTTAGTTCCTGAACCAATTTTTTCGTTTTCACAGGTAAAACCTCTCTCAGCTCTTCATAGCTTGTCGTAAATATTGAAACTTTTTCTTTGTGTTTCTACTTACTCTTTAAGGTCTCGGACAAATATATAAGATTTTATTAATTATCTAGTCAGATTCTAATATTATTCGCCCTATAAAGCTAGTATTAGATATTTTGTTCTTCTGTTTTTGGATCATGGCTGAAGTATGATAAAGAAAATGAACCTTGGACCTAACTTGTCCCAAAAACTAGCTCACGAGGTGAAGATCATATAAGGAGTCCAAGTACCCACTTCCTAAGTTGCGCGGACACTTCGATTTTGGTGCTGTCCCCGTCCCGATACGAGACGGGTACGGGAGCGGGAGCAGGATACTTCCTGGATTCGGTCAACTGACTTCGGACACTTTGACCAGAGTCTATCGACAAATTTGGGAGAAAAATTGAGATTTTTATTTCTCAAAATAAAAAATAAAACAGATTTAGGAGAATGAAAGAATAATGTCCATCTTGGAGAATGAAAGATTGAATTCTACAATATTCATGTAAGTTTTTCACACAATATCTCTCAAAATTTATAATATTTTTATAGCTCTATTTTTTATTAGCCGAATCCCCGCACCCGTATCCATATCTGGATCCGCACCTCCGAATCTTAAAATTTAGATTTTGTTGAATCTTATACTCGGATCCGTCCCCGTATCGGATACCCGCACCCGAGTCCGAGCAACTTAGCCCACTACCCATCCGATGTGAGAAACCAACACCCCCTTGTGCCCAAGACTAGAAATTTGAAGTGTGGACAATATAAGATGGGCGCGCAACATCGATTAATAAATTGGGATGAGCCTGACTCTGATACCATGATAAAGAAACGGATATTGAGCATAACTCAACCACAAAAGCTAGCTCATTAGGTGAGGATTGAGGACTGCACAACCATATAAAAAAGCCAAACATCTCACCCATGGACAATGTGCACGCCTAGGACTGGACAAATATAAGATGGGGGACACAACATCGTATGAAACAAGAATTGGGTGGGTCTTACTTTGATATCATGAGAAACAAAATGAACCTTGGACCTAATTCAACCCCTATTAGTTCAGAAAAATCAGGTCTCACTTGCATGCGATCCTATTCCTAGGTTATGTTAATGTCGTAGTTCAGGTAATGGCTCCACATATTATGTGCTTGGTAAACTTTGTAAAACTTCTCCCCTACCATTTGGTGAAAACTTTGCATCTCGATTTGCAGGAATCACTATCATGTTATTCCTCTCCATGGGTAGTATTGGATAATATTCAGGCCACTTGTCAATAAATATTAAGCTTTGTCTTGCATATGCCTCGTTTTTCTCATAGCATTTAAAGATTAATTTAAATTTTTAGTACAAGCTCTGTATCACGTCAGTTATACAGAGATTGCTCAAGTTTAGTCCTCTATTGTGGTGATTTTCTCGAATACAATGATACGGTTTAAAGCCTAGGAATTCAATACTTTCCTAATAAGATAATCTACATGTTTATCAAGAATGACGTCTCTTCTAAATATTATATAGATGTGTCCAAAAGAGCGTGAAATTGTGATCCTACCACTTCTTCTATGTCTAGTTTTCCACTTTGTCATGGTAGATTCTTTTTTTGTGCATCAAATAAACACAATAAACCACATGCTCCCCACAGGAAGTAAAAGAAAAATTAAACCTTGTGTGGTGAAGTGGCGTCCCTCCAGACTCAGGCAGTTTTTAGATCAGAAGTGTGGCCCTGAATATTTTGTCACCTATCCAAACAATGTTCAACAATTCTGAAGAATCTCTTCTTGCTTTATCTTTTATTTTTTCCTTTGGCGTGAGGAATCATACATCTCTTTCCTTGATATAGTCAATTACTGGTTATGCTAAATGGCTAGTTCAGCTTTGTTGTGATGGACTCTCTCATATTCTGAAGGATAATTCAGATCAAAGAGAAACAAAGAAAAATGGTTTGGATCAAGCTCCAAAAGTGGTTACACCCCTTGAGCAATCAACTGGTGGGGGTACAAGGGCTGGGCTTTTCAGAACTCCCATTTCTGGAGGCGTACAAAGTGCAACCTCAGCTCATGGCCTACCTAAACCTGCCTTAGCTGTCCGCAATCTAATGGAACAGGTAGATTCCTTGCATTAGCAGATATTTTGTAGTTTTTCAGAGATTTGTAAATGTAAAATCTTTGTGTGTTTTTCATTGTTATATACCATTGTTCTAGGCTAGGTTTGCTCATTTATGCACTGTGATGTCCCGGATGCATCATCGGCGTGAAGGCTACCCATTTGGTTCACTTGTAGATTTCGCGCCAGATTCCATGGGACGTAAGTTGCTACATTCTAGTGTCAGAACAATTCTTTATTTTTAGCCATCTTTTGGGTTTTCATACAATCAAAGTGTTGAAAGGCTAGAATAGGAGGTCGAATATAAAACTACATTTTGGGTAATATTCATTACCAATAAGTATAGGTCACTTTGACCCCATAAGTAAGCTGGTTGGCTGTGCTGGTTTAGCATGGAGAATAAGCTTCTTTCTTGCGCCTGCTCGCCCAAGACCGATGCCCAAATTGGCCTTAGCCGGGGGTCTTTCGAAAACAACCTCTCTACCCCTACAAGGTAAGGGTAAGTTATGCGTACACGCTACCCTCCCCAGACACCTGCACAAGGTAGGGGTTAGGTCTGGATACACACTACCCTCTCCAAACCCCACTTGTGGGATTCCATTGTGTGTGTTTGTTTGTTTGTTGTTGTTGTTGTAGTAGTAGTAGTATTTTGACCCCATGTGCAATTGGCATAGCTGCCCCACATGGCTAAAGGTAAGCTCTATTTTCAGTATCTCCACTAAGAAAGGCTTCCTATTAAAAGCAACCACTTTGGTCTTGGTTAAAGTTATTATTTATTGGCTACTTTGAGCATTTCAACGGAACAATTGTGGTTAAGGATCTGGAATCAACTCATGCATTGAGTTTCCTTGTTGGATGGTTTGTCTAGACTGCCCCTGGAAATTGTTAGGTAAATTGTTGGTAAATATTCTTAAACTAAATTGAGTTTCCAGCATTAATGTACCTTAACGTTGTAAAACATTGAACATGGAGTGCAGACATTTAATTAATTGAAAATCCTTGTAAAAATGATGTTATTGATTTGATGTTAGAAGCAAAACTTATATCTGCACAATAGTATATATGCTGCCTTTTCCAGTATATATTACAGACAGTGCTCAAATAGTTATTTCTCATTGTTTCGGCAGATCCAATATTTTCATTTTCGCCATTAGCTATACACACCCGTAATTTGCTGGCTGACCCAAGATGCACACTAGTTGTACAGGTTTGTGATCTATTTCAGAAACATCAAGTACTTCGGGCTTATACGATGTCTCTGAGTTTCTTGAACTTTTGGCTTTTCAGATCCCAGGATGGAGTGGTTTATCTAATGCAAGGGTAACGATTTTTGGTGACGTTTATCCGCTACCTGAAGATCAACAGGTAACAACCTTCTTGCAATGTAGTGATTATTTTCAGATTCCTATTAACATCAAATACACTGACATTAAATGCTAAGAGAATTCTTAGATATCCTTTTTGTTTCCTAAAATGATGAGATTTCGCTTGCTTAAATGCTCACGTACGCTAGATATATGTGGTCTTTCCTAACTGTCTTTTTACATTTTGCTTTTTACAACCTCTATAATACCTAATCAAATGAATGGAAACGCAAAAAATAGAAGACTTCAGGGAAATGCTTCATTTATGATCGCATATGCCTCTAGCTTTCTACCGATGTAACCATCCCTTGTCTACCTAGTATTTTTGGTCACTTGACATATGAACCAGAATCAATTCTCACATCAGACCCTAGTGGTATTGTTATTTCTCTCCTTTCTCTCGTGTTTTACTCTCTACTCTTGTTAAGAGAAAGGTTTGATTTACTTGATACACTTTGAAGAAGTGCTATGAGCCGGACCTGCAAGGGCATCATATCAAATTCATCTAAGTGGCATCTTCTCCGATGGTCAAGGCCAGTTTTTTATGAAGATGTCTAGGACAGTTTGTTCAAGGAGAAAGATTGCCCTTTTTTTTTTGTTTTTATGATTAATCAAATGGCCGTTTGTTCTCCGCAATAACCTTTCCCAGGTTGAATTCTTGAGTTTGACTTATTATAGATAGTAAGAGAACAGTTGAATATTAGTATTGTATAAAGATATAGAACTCCACATGCAAGGCCCATAGGTTCCCTTGTGATTTATTTGAATAGATAGAAATATAGCATAGTGAAGTGTAACGATGGAGGTTGTAAAGATAACCCATGTTACTTTTGGTTATAAAATGTTTTTAAAATCAGTCCATTCCAGGGAAGTGGGCATTATTTTGGAATGGACGAAGAAGGAAAGGATTCATTTTCTGCACGGTGTGTATAGTTTCTTCTGCCTAGGTCGATTTCCCTTGACCTTCTCTTTGACGACTTGCTGTCCTCTTTGGAGTCATATCTTTATGTAGATTTCTACTTTTTGGTGTACTTCTTGTGTATGGGAGTTTTCCATTCCATTGTTAATAAACTACACTTCACTTGATAAAATAAAATGACTTGCTGCCATCTCATATTTGATCCTGCAATCCTCTTTCAAATGCTACTTGTAGAATTCTGCGATTTTGATGTGAATGCTAAAGCTGTAATTGCGCTTATATTCTGTTGGTTGAGCCAAGTTTGTCGACTTCTCTGTATATGTTATGAATGTTGCAATTATCTTAACAAATGGTTCGGTTGTTTCAACAGGAATGGGCGCACAAGCAGTATATAGCAAAACATCAGCAAGGTCCTTCTCAACAATGGGGAAATTTCTTTTACTTTAGGATGCAAAATATAAGGTTAGCTCCTTTTTTCCTAGGTAATTTAGCTGGGTTCTTATTTCAAATGATAAAAGGAGAATCAGTATACAAATTAATGTGCACGTTCACTCTGCTTAGCTCTTTTACACCATGAGCCTCTTCGGAATTTTTTATTTGAATTCATCTTTTCACTTAAGTTGCCTAGTGTGTGTTCTGGCATCTGACAAATGCCTTTCGACTAATAATGGGTGCACCTTATATTCCAAGCTTTCATTGTAAGCATTTTATTCTTAAGCAACCTGTTTGTAACCTAATTATTAATCTCTTTAGTAGTGGAGTTTACTGTTCATTTTGGTTAGCTTGACTCTGTTTCAAGGAAAATGTTGACTGTCTCTAGCAGTTCAGTATGGCTTCTCTCGCTGCCAATGTCTTTCTACAGTAGTAAAATAGAAAGAGGATAAATCATTCTTCCGTTATAATTTCTCGAGCAAAGCAGGCACCTTTTTTGCCAGGGGTCTCTTGCATCTCACTTCAAATTTTTTTGCTCTGCTGCACTTTTAGTGCTTATTTTATGATTGCTGGAGGTTATCTACTTCTATTCTGGCTCTACCACTGGTGTTTTTCCAGCTATGATGAGCCATAAGTGGTTGCTAATTGAATACAACAACATGAAGAGTTATCTACCATGTCTAAGTTTGAATTTGAAAAGATTCATCTACCATGCTGCACTTTCTTTGATTAGTTTATCTGAAGAGGTTTTTTTTTTCTTGGG